AAGCATCTCCTCCCTATCTTTCTGCCCACCTGAACGCTTAAGACAATCGTGAAAGGAAAACCATCAATGATAGGTTTAAAAACGAAAATTCGAAACAAGCTTTTTTAAAAAACGGAAAGAGATTTTGTTTTTAGCATTTGGGAACAAATTGGTTTTCCAAAAATGTTGTGAAAAAACAACCACCACAACCACACAGCCCTGGAGACCATCGGCCCTTTGGAACAATACAGTCGTCTTCTGAAGGATGAGGCCACTTACGGTCCCTAGGAAGGGAGTTCCATCATGAGACAGCTGCTACTGAGAAAGGCCGGTCTCAGGTCCTTGAAGGTGGTGGGACACATAACAGGGTCTCCGTTGACTTCTAGAAGGAAGACACAAGGGGGGGCAACCTTTTAGATCTCCTGCCTTGAAGCCTTTTGGCTTTTTATAGATACAGTACAGGGAGGTGGTGCAGTTTGCTGGAGGCCAGGGTTGTACGGAGGTCCTTAGCCTCAATCCATTCCAGGCTTTCTACCTTGGTCCCACTGTACGTAGGCAGCTCAGCACCTAAGAGATACAAGAGCCTCCCGTGTCAGAATCTGTCTCTAAAGGAGGAAGCCCTGTGCGCTTCCCTCTGTCCAGAGAAAGACAGAGAGAGAGGGTCGTTGACAATAGAGACAGTTGTGATTTTTTTTAAGCTTCTCTGCATCCCATGGACATGGGAAGACATTCAAATAGCATAATCTTAATCGTAGAACTGCAGAGCTGGAAGGGACCCTCTGGATTATTGAGTCCAGCCCAAAGAGGCCTGAAGATGGGTGGGAATCGAACTCCCAACCTCTGGCTCCACAACCAGATGCCTGAACCACAACGTAGGCAGATGGGGTGAATTCGTCCACGAGGAAGCCAGAGGAAACATGTCATGCCATGCTATGCATCAGGTTCCCTTCCATTTCAGGGCCAGTCTTGAGAAGGCTTCTCTGCAAACTCTCCCCAATCTCTAAAATGTCCACGGTGTTGGGACCACCTGTGTGGGCAGGTGTGGGAAGAGCGCCGCCTTTTTCTCCCCAGAGCCCATCTCCCTCCTTCTGTCGCTTTTTCTGCAGATGAAAGTGTTCAAATGGACGGACCGTTCTCCAAAGAAGTACACGGCATGGGCAGACTTTGAACCCGCTTATTCTGTCTTAGCTAAGGTCTGTGTCCATCTCCTTAACTATAAAGGTGAGGAGAAACTGGGGCCCTCTGTGAGTTCACCAACAGTGGAAGTCCAGAAGGGCTCGAAGTTGGATGTGGGGGGGGGGAAGGATGGCGTGAGGAGACTTTGCTTCCTTTATTCAGTGGTTGGTGGGAAGAAGAGAGAGTCGGAGGCCACCTGTTTGTTTCAAAATGGGTGGGAGGGCCGGTGGGGAGGGCCTGGGAGGGAAAAGATCCCGGACATCATTTTTTGGGGGGGTCTCTTCTAGAGTATAAGCAATGGGCATCCGTCAAATGTGACGAAAAGGCCTCCTACCTCTGCAAGTTCACCTCTACGTGAGAAATCTGAATTAAGTCCCTGGTTGCGGCTCTTCAGCAGATGGTTGACCCCAAGTTGGTTTTCCATCCCAAGTCCTTCACCATCATGACCTGCCCAACGTGCTACCAGTTCGAATTCTCCAAGGAGTAAAGTTTCTCAGGCCACACATCTGTCTCCTGCTCCTTTATGATCACCTTGAATTGGGGCTCTGTCGTCTTAGAACTGTAGGGCGGAAAGGCCCCTCCAGCCAGGAATCGAACTCCCAACCTCTGGCTTCCCAACCAGAGACCTCAACCTCTACAGTTGAAGCACCTTTAACTGAAAACGTTGACACCTGCGATTTGCACCCACTGACACTTTTCCTTAACCAGGAACTACTGGTTTAATGGTGCCATCTTTAGACAAAGCTGTACAGGGAGCAAGGGATACTCAGAAGCTGGTGCTACCCAAAACTTCCTTAGAGCAGCCGAAATGCCCTTCAGCCAACAGAATCTCCTTTTGGCTCTTTAAAAAAAAAAAAAATCACAGAGATCTCCCAGCGAAAGTGCTCTGGCAGTTGTGAAAAGCCAGAGCACTGAATGAGAAGGAAAGAGAGAGGTGTTAATAACTGGAGTGTCAATTTTAAAAGAAAAACAAGAACAACCTTTTATGGGTTGTTGTTCGTGAATTCTGCCCCCCCCCCCGGTGAACTGACAAACCACGAATCAATTTTTGGTTCATTGGGTCTTTTTTGTTTTTAGCCAGCCCATGGGGGCTATCTTAGGAAAAAAAACCCTCTGATCTCCAGAGTCCTCCTGATCCATTTCTGTATCCACTACATCACACTGGGTATCAAAGAGTTATACAGTGGCGCCTCGCTAGATGCTGATAATCCGTTCCACTGAAATCGCTGTTTAGCGAAATCATTGTCTAGCGAAAAGCATTTCCCCATCGGAATGCATTGAAACCTGTTTAATGTGTTCCAATGGGAAAGAATCGTCGTTGTCTAGCGAAGATCGGCCATAAGAAAGCCGCTTTGCGAACCGCCGATCAGCTGTTTAAATCGCTGTCTTGCGAAGCTTAGGTCCCGAAAACACCCGTTTTGCGAGCGCAGAGGGAGCTGTCAAAATCATTGTCTAGCGAAAATCGGTTTGCGAAGCAGGGACCAAACATTGTCCAGCGAAATTCCCCCATAGGAATCACTGTTTTGCGAATCACTATAATGATCACAAAATGTCAATGTCTAGCGAAAAAACTGTCATGCAGGGTAACTGTCTAGCGAGGCACCACTGTACATAAATATAACAAAAGGAAGCAAGAGATGACACACATGATTGGTGCAAAACTAGTTTGTGCTTACCTTCCACAAAACAACAACAAAACACCTCCCGTGTTATGTTCCTTCTCAAAAGAACGAGGCATCAAACGAGCTCCCGTCCCTCGGTTGGGATATCTGGGTTGTCCCTCTAAAGCAAAGCAGACACTGGATCTTATCTCTTTATTTTTTGGACCCTGCAAATATTACAAGGCAGGCTCTTGAGGGAGGCCTCCTCATCTCTACTGAGGCTGCTTCTCTTCTCCACGAACAAGGCTGTGCTGCAGGGGGTGGAACGTTCTTTGGGAACTCGTTTAAGTTCCAGTAAAATGCACCGCAGAAGGCCAGCTACTTGAGGGTCAGCATTAGGTAAGGAGTCCCCTTCTGACCACCCTCACCAAGGCTTAGCACTTTAGAAAATAATAACTCAGGAAGCAATTTAAGTATAAAAAGGTTTCTGTATTTTACTCGCATAAAATGCCCATTTCTAAAACAGGCACTTTTCTTTCTCAGTCCACGTGGCTGGATCTCTTCGGTTCAGAGATCCAGCCTGGAGGTCTAGCATCTTCCCAGGTGAAAAAACCATGCGTGAACAACAATGGAGTTTCTCAAACCCCACGGTGAAAAGGGGTGGGGGGTGAACAGAGGTGGAGATAATCTAGCCCCGGGAACATCAAACCCCTCTGATTAGTTAGCATGCAAACAAACAAGTAAACAAGTTGGCCTGTGATGCAGCCCCTTCCCCTTTTAAATTTACATCTAGATTGCTTGACCATCCAACGCAGGGGAAGGTCCAGAAGAAACCGGCCCACCCTAGGAGACTGGCTGCCTTCTGAGCGTCCTTCAGCAGCTAAGTTGGAGAAAAGAAAGGACCAGGGTGTCCTGCTGGGGCCGAGAGGTGGTTTCGGAGTCAAGAGACAATCAAAGTTACTCAAGCCCCTTCACCACGACAAGGCAGCAATCCATGAAGGAAAAAAACATACTAGCAGAAATATTATATGAATTCATACTGGAAGGACTTAGTCAAGAGTAAGTGCTGCAAAGGATAGAGAAATGATCTGAACCCCTTTTTGCCTGGTGGGAGCCCCTAAAACTAGCAACTGGTCATTCTGTCCATTTATGTCATAGGTTCCCAACCTGGGAGTCATGACCCCCAAGGGGGGGGTGTCACAAAGTGTTTTCTCAGGGTTGCTGTGGCAATTTTCAGTAGCAATAATTTTTAGAGGAAATTTCACCACAAAGGGTTTCAACACTGGTTTATTGTCCAGATGCAAGTGCAACCATCCTATTAAATATATATAGTATTTAAATATTGTATATATATATATATATTTGCTTTACCTTATTAAAATAGGTTTTCATGCAGAGGTGGTAGTGGTGGGTCATGGGTTAATTACCTATAATAAAAAGGGCTCACAATTTGAAAAAGGTTGGGACACGCTGGTCTAATTCTAACCAGGACACATGCCTGCTTAATTGTCAAAATGACTGAAAAGTGACCACTTCATGGGTACAGTGATAAGATCAAACCGTATGAATTGGCAAAATGATAACACAGTGTATCTTCAAAGCACTTGCTTAATGAGTGAATGACAGCCTAGTTTTCCAACTCCAGGTGTCCTTGGCCAACCCAGCTGGGGTAAACATCTGCTTCCCCCTGGCAATCATCTGTCAGGTCAGGCAAAGGTCATGAGAAGAAGCTTCTTCTGGATGAGACATCATCAAAACAGAAACATAAAATACATTGAGTTGGAAGGGGCCTCGGAGGCCATCAAGTTGAACCCCTTGCTCAAGGCAGGGATCCAAATCCAAGCAGATCTGACAGAGGATTGTCCTGTTTTCTCTTGAAGGCCTCCCGTGTTGGAGCCCTCACCACCTCCCTCCTGCGATCATGGGCTCCATTGTCGTACTACTCTAACAGTTAAGATGTCTTTCCTAATACTATCCAGCCAAAATAAAAGCTCATTTCTATAAATAAGCTTGTCAGTTTCTCTGTGAGTCCTATTATCCATTCTTAGGGCTACCACAACTGGTTTGCCAAAGTGCTGCCAGCATGCTTGGTTGGCTCATAGTTGAGTTGATTGTTGATAGTTGTGGGATACTCAACTATCCCACCAACTGCGCCAGAGCACAGACAGAGTTCTGACTCCTGTCCTCTGAAGAGGCCCATGGCCACAGAGACGGGCGAAACGTCAGGAAGAACAACCTCAAGAACAAGGCCAGACAGCCCGAAAAACCTACAACAACTAGATCAGTAACACTTGGGGTCCATTTTTCGACAGGGAGGAGAGAAGGAACACGAGAAGTTGCAGAAGATGTTTTATTGGTTTCACCCAAGACGGTCTGGCCCTGTGTGGACAGAACGTCCAAGTACAAGGACCTTGAAACGAGGAGACCTCTCCGTCCTTCCATGGAAGGAGACCCTAAGCATCATCTGTGCGATCTTGCCGGCACCCACTGGCCTCTCCTGCCTCCCTCAGAGGTGATATTTGCAGATGAAGGCCATCTCCATGGAACACTTTGCATCATTCCAGCGCATGTATTCTGGAAAGCAAGAAAGAGGTGGACTCAGGTTTGGCTTCCGTTTCGCCAATGTTTTCGGCCTCTTTGGGGAATAAAGCGCGATCCTCGTTCCTAGCTCATACAGGGAAACCTGGGCCCGTGGCACAGTCTTCCTCCACTGAGGACCCCCCGCCCCATCGCTTTTTGTGACCCCCCCTCTCAAAACTATAGCTCCCAAAAGAAAAGGACGGTAAACCATTTCTGAGTGTGCTCTACCTAGAAAAGACAGGTCTCTGGCTATGGACCCAGAGGTTGGGAGTTCGATTCCCCCACTGAGCCAGCCTAGGTGGCCTTGGGCAAGCTGTGTTGTAGTCCCGCACCCCTCCCCCCCGCAGAAGAAAGGGATGGGAAGTCCTTGGGAAACCCTGAAAAAGGGTTTGCCATCAGTTGGAATTGACTTGACAGCACATGATTATTATGAAAGGGTTAAGGGAGGTTCTTTTTAAAATGATGTGGGGGGGAAAGCTTGCAAGAAAAAAAATCAGATTGAGTTCTCGGAGTGGAGCCCCTTGTGCAGCTCTATGCCCCCCCGCAGAAGAAAGGGATGGGAAGTCCTTGGGAAACCCTGAAAAAGGGTTTGCCATCAGTTGGAATTGACTTGACAGCACATGATTATTATGAAAGGGTTAAGGGAGGTTCTTTTTAAAATGATGTGGGGGGGAAAGCTTGCAAGAAAAAAAATCAGATTGAGTTCTCGGAGTGGAGCCCCTTGTGCAGCTCTATGAGGTCCAGGGGTGGGAGTTAGCAGCCTTGGGACCTCTGGAGGCTGCCTACCCTGATGAAAACCAAAAGAAGACAAAAGAAAACCACCCAAAGAGAGAGAGAGAGAGAGAGAAAGAGAGAGAGAGAATATCATGGTATTTAATGACACCTCTAGCTTTATGACCAACTTCAGATGCATCCTTCAGTGACTCCTCACGGTACACAAGATCCAACCTACACGCCTGACATTATCTCTCCTGACCTGCTGTTTTATTGTGTACACACCATTGATGCCACAGGTCTTACCTACTAATTGTTTTTAGCTTTCTAGTTGGGTATGTGAGTATGTGTTTTATTCATGATTGTTATAAACCACCCAAAACAGTGCATTGTAAATAATGGGGTGGTGTATGACTCAAATGAATGAATGAATGAATGAATGAATGAATGAATGAATGAATGAATGAATGAATGAATGAATGAATGAAGCTGCCAGAATCCTGCCAGCCCGTCTGGCCCTTAGTCCTACTTTTATACTTTTACATTCCCCGGCTCTCTTTCTCTGGGTCCAGCTGGCTTCCTGGGCTCCTCCTTACCTCTGTTCACGACCAAATGAACACACAGCTCTTTCTTTTTCCTGCCATTGGGCTCTTTATCGTTCCAAGAGAGGTATGAGCTTAAGGACAGGTCCGTCCAGCGCCAGCGCCTGTTCTATAGAGAGAAGAAATTTAGGAGGAGGAGGTCGGACAAGAAGAGGGAGCCCCTCCTTCCGGATTTCTGTTGATTCCGTGCAAAAGAAAAAGAGAGAAGACTCTTCCTTATGTATCAGCATCACCTTCTTTCTGAATCATGTGGTTCCAGAAGGTGAGCATGGATGCTTAGGGTGAGTGCTTGAACACTGGAGGCATTCAAGAGAGCATAGGACCGGAATGGCTTTGATTCGGGATCCCTGCCTTGAGCAAGGCGTTGGACTTGATGGCCTTAGAGGCCGCTTCCAACTCCCATCATCCTACGAGTCTATGATTCTATGAAATCCCATGACATACTAGTTTTCCCATCCATTTGGCACTGATTAGGCGACCTCTTGAGTACAGTGTCCAGTTCTGGACACTGCACTTCAAGAAGGATGCCAACAAACTGGAACCAAGTTCAGAGGAGGGCAACCAGGAGGATCCAGGGGACTGGAGAACCAAGCCTTATGAGGAAAGGCTGAAAGAACTGGGCAGGTTTAGCCTTGAGAGAAAAAGACTGAAGTGTAATATGAAAACACTTTTCAAATACAAGTGGTGCCTCACTAGACAGTTACCCCGCATGACAGTTTTTTCGCTAGACATTGACTTTTTGTGATCGCTATAGCGATTCGCAAAACAGTGATTCCTATGGGGGAATTTTGCTGGACAATGTTTGGTCCCTGCTTCACAAACCAATTTTTGCTAGACAACAATTTTGACAGCTCCCTCCATGCTCACAAAACGGGTGTTTTGGGACCTAAGCTTCACAAGACAGCTATTTAAACAGCTGATCGGCGGTTCACAAAGCAGCTTTCCTATGGCCGATCTTCGCTAGACAACGACGATTCTTCCCCATTGGAACACATTAAACAGGTTTCAATGCATGCCAATGGGGAAATGCTTTTCGCTAGACAATGATTTTGCTAAACAGCGATTTCAGCGGAACGGATTATCGTCATCTAGCGAGGCGCCACTGTATTTGAAAGGCTGTCATCCAGAGGAGGGGCAAGATTTGTTCTCGATCCTCCCAGAATGCAGGACACACAACCATGGGCTCAAGTGACAGGAAGCCAGATTTCAGTTGAATATCAGGAAAAAACCCTAACTGTTAGAGCAGTACGACGATGGAGCCAATGACCTCGGGAGGTGCTGAGTGCTCCCATGCTGGCGGTATTCAAGAGAAAGCGAGACAGCCATCTTTGTCAGATCTGCTTTGATGTGGGGTTATGGCCTTAAGGGCCCCTCCCAACTCAGTTCTTCTGCAATTCCAGGATTCTATAACAAGTCATATGAAACAGCGAGGTGACAACCAGGAAAGTAACCAGGTGGAGCCGTTCAATGTGTAGATTGCTAATCTTGGTCTCTACGTTCCCCCTGCTCCTTTCCCTGAAGGCTGCCGTTCCTCCTCTGCTCTAGAAGGAGGCAACTCCAACCTGTCTCCACTAAGGCTGCAAGCAGAGTCACCACTCATGACACCCAGTTTGGAGGGCTTCCTTTTGTGCACAAAGCTGGGATTTCATTTCCAAGCTGTCCCTGAATGATCCTCAGCCCTAGCCCCAAAAGTCTTCAGAGGACCAAGAGAACGGTTTTGCATTGGACTACAACCTACATCTTGAGAGAGATTGAGATTAAGAGAGAGAGAGAGAGAGAGAGAGAGAGAGAGAGATGCAGACATTGACTGACATGACTGTGCACCAAATGAATTTCCCAAAACAATTAAATGTCAATGCCTGTTTCTAATTCCCAGGCCCTGAAAGCTCCTTTTGCTCCAACAGACAGAGGCCATCATCAAATGCTTGGTATCCTGCTGCCCGTAATGTCCACTATTGTCCTACCTAGGGTGTGTTCAGTCCATGTAGTAAAGGGGCAGATACGGTTCCATTTTTTTTTCTGCTGACAACCACTTTTGCCACCAGATGGAGCTGCTGAGATTGCCATACGGATTGATACTCTTTAGGCTTTCCTTCCTCTTTTTCCCTCTTACTCTCTCCCATACCAAGTCAGATGGAATACAGAGGATGCATATCTTTGCACTGGGAGGAGTAGTGAGAGGAGGAAGGAGGGGGTGGGCCCTTACATTTCCATCTGGGTAGCCAGATGGGTGATAGAAAAATCAAATGAATGAATGAATGAATGAATGAATGAATGAATGAATGAATGAATGAATGAATGACCTTCCGTCAACCTGGTCCCATCTTCCTCTTTCTCCACCCAAAAGCAAAGCTTTGATACTGACCGCAAAGGGGTCGTGAAGTCCAATCCAGATAGGCCCGACGGACTTATAATTAGTGGTAATGAACTTGGAAATGGCTGTCATCTCTTCTTCATCAAGGATGGACGCTAGATGGCTCTGGTGATACCTGAAACATTTGGCCTAAGAAGAAGGAGGAGGAGGAGGAGGGAGGCTTTGAATAAAGACTTTCTCCAAGAGCTGAACTTTCCTCTTCTGACTCAGTTTTGCAGCTCAACTTTCTGGTTGTGTTGGAACGTTTATTTATTTATTTATTTAT